GAATTATCTCTCCAATATATTTGTGTCTAAAATAGATCCTGGTGACTATCTGTATTATTAAGTTTGAATGCTCTTAATTGCTATGGAGACAAACTGTGATCCAGGAAATAGAGAAGAATTGTAAAGTGTTTAGGACCCTTAAATAAGGTTTCAAAATGTTAACACTAGAGCCGTTTTAAGATAAAGAGCTTTTCTCTACAATGGAACTTTGCTTTTGCCTCACTTTGGGGCCAAACCTCCGTGTACTATGAAAGGTGGCATTACCAATATCCTTTCTAAAGCATAAAGGTGCTCATGAGTGATGAATTACATTAGGGACATGTTTCACTTTCCCCACCAACTTCCTCGCTCAAAGGCTGCTATTTGCCTACTGGAAAAAAATAGCAAATGCTTCATTAACAAGGATTCATCTTTTTTTCCCTTCAGGGAGGCTATTTGCACCTCTTTTGGAGAGGCCATTTTGATCAAAGAAAGGGTGGAGGATAAGGATAAAGAGAAGGGAAGAGAAGAGAAGAGAAGCAAAACTTTTCTCCAGCAATGCTATTCTGTCCCATTTCAAACACAAAGGAAAAGAGGGGAAAAATCTCAACACATAGGAAAACAGTTTTATTCTTCAAAAAAGCTCAATGTTTCAGCTCAGTGACATATATTTCTATGCCGTCTTCAGGGGTTAAATTTTGCAAAGAGTTACCTGAAAAGATTTCTTGAAGGACTTATTCTCTGAGACATCTTTATAGAGACCTCTGCAGGCTATTTACAAAATTGAACCCATGAAAAAGGCTGGGAAATATAGGGCAGAGGGCCAAAACATATAAATACATGCATATTTTCCCCCATGCAAAGACTTGGTATTTCTTTTCATTGTGTTATTTTGGATGGTTTGCCTGATTCCACTTCACATACACATTCAGAGCTTCTGTTAAGCTTTGAAAAAGGCATCAGGTGAAATTCTCACGGATCTCATGTATCTCATCAAGTTTGCCCCTCTGCCTTATTATAAAAAGTCCCTGGCTGTTGCTACTCTATGCCCAAGGAATGTGGCAATTAATTTAGCTGCCTGCTTAGTAACCAATGCTGGCCCAATACTGCACAATCACACAAACATACTCCCATGAAGACAGCCCCATGTAGATCAACAGGGAACTTTCAGTGTTGACACAGGTTTGCTTGACATTCCCCAAGTAGTACGAAACGTCAAGCTACTCTTCGATGGTTGTGTTACCTCTGGAGGAGACAGCATAGGAGACCTAGGGGGTCTTGTTTTGTAGAAGACAGAACTGTACAACACAATGTTGTAGAAGTACGAAAACTACAACTGACAAAGCTGCTTACTCTATGCTGCTGTTAAAACACAGACATCAGCTCCGCTATTGTACAGAGTCACCCAGAGCAGGTTTACCAGAGTCACAAGCAGCAAAGTTTGCCAGCACACTTGGAGAGAAGCAGGAGGCCTTGGCCATGGCATAGAGTGGGACCTGCGCCCCCATGTGCCTCAGTCGTTGTGCCTTCTGCCTGGTTACGGAACCGAGAAATTAACCCACATCCAGGCCCAGCCTTTTCATGTTACATGCTGGAGCCTTGCCAAGAAGGTTGGCCACCCACCACTGCCTTACAGCTGGCTTGTGAAGGTTGGTCTTCCTGGCATTTAATGTGGTAAGTAATTAAGTAAGTCCTGGTGATGAAATGAATTACTTAATTGAAATAATAGGTCCATGGAAAACAGATCAACCATATCAAGTCTCAACAAGAAGAGACTTTACCAAGAATGAGCCAGACTTTTCCATTTTTCACAAATAGCACAGGCTCCTCTTGAGTTGCTGCTCACAGCTAAACAAAAATGTCTCCAAACTGGAACTCATATTCTGCACTTGGAGAAATAAATATTTGATGAATGTTTAGTAAAGGAAACCCCCACATACAGGAACTTACTCAAGGTTGCTAGCATTGCTTTGCAGATTGAGTATTTGGGTCCCACATATACCAACTGTACATATTTCTCACTGACCAGGAGCTGGAAGTATCACATGCTAAAGGTTCAGAGAAATAGTATAGAACTGACACCAGAATTAATTGAGAGTCTTGGAAATATGTATTTGACTGCTCATAGGAATTACATATTTGATTGTTCATAATACAAAGTTATTACAGATTGCTTTGCAAACAATCTAGACATTCTAGGGTTAAGATTTGACATACTATTATTAGAAATAATTGTGCATAAACTTCAGCTAAGGCAGCTCAAATATCTATATATCTATCCATTTATAAATTGGGCCTAAAACCACCCATTCAAAAGTGGATCGGTTCATCGAGTCCTACCCACAGGAACATGGCAGGAAGGTTGCATATCCTTCAGTGCTGTGATGGTAGCATTTAGCTCTCAAGAGGGCATGGAGAATCCATTTGCGTTAACAGTCAGGCAGGATTTTTTCCTAGCCCTGCTGGGAGACGCTAGACTGGCCCGGGGAGCTTCTGCATGCAAAGCATGTACTCAGCCAGTGAGCTGCAGCCTCCCCCTTGACGACATTGTACACCTGTGTCTGCAGAAGTACATACATTTCTATGCACACATCTTAGCTTAGTTCTGCGGTGGGAAACCAGCAATGTGCGGACCTCATGTGGCACCGCAAGCTTCAGTGCAGTTCTTGCTGCTACCAGAGTTGCCACTAGGGGGTGGCAGCAACCTGGGATGTCTCTGTGAGGCAAAGTGTGCAGGGATGGGCTGATGTGGGAATGGTACTTCAACGCATCTGAATGGCACCACGCTGGGAAAGCTGCCTAATGGCAACTGGGCCATTGTCTGGAAAAGGCCCCTTCTCTCCATTTCGCATGCATGCACAGACCCATATGCACACAACGCTCATCGACATTATGGAGCATATATATAGTGCTTCATATGAAATGCAACATCCCCATGAATTTCCCTCTTCCTAAATGGAAGAAGCATTTAAGCACAGAAGTGAAGTTGTTTTGCACATTTAAGACACAAAAAATTCCCAAGAAGTTTTCTTATCCATTATGCACCACGGTTTTCTCGCAGACATCAGGTTTAACGTAGTGGGCTCTCTACTGCAAACATAATCTGCTGGCCGAACACTTTAAAAGGACCCACAGTGTTGGGCTTTGGTAAGAAGTATGAGATTTGCCTTTTAGGCAATGGAAAAGGGGGCTGTAAAGGAGAGGGGATGCTGTACCCTGCTAGCTCTGGGTCTTATTCTCTGCTAGGAGCATATTCAGTTGAATAGATGCCCATCTTGCATTCACAGAGTACCCCTGAGAAACTGACTCCCAGCACAAAACAGAAAGCACTGATGGATTTTCCAGCTACACTCTTTTGTGGCTTTGCCATTTTCTGGCTGCCTCCAGCTGAGCACACATGTTTTGAGAGAAAAGAAAGAGGCCTGGTGAATAGGGAAACACCATCCTTGCCCCATCATTGTGTCCATTTCATTCCCATCTAAGCCAACGTCCACTCGAGACAATGAGGTTACCATCCTGTCTTAGGTGGACTTGCTGGGAGACGGAGCAGTTTTCCTAACAGACAGCAACTTCTGAAATAGTATTTTATTGGAAATGGATTTATTTAACAGTGTTTATATTTAAAGCATTTTATTACACATTTGTACCAGTTTTGTACTGTGAGCGGCTATGGGAAGATTATGGTCTTGAAAGGCAGTTATGAAATGGATGAAGAGACTGCTCTGTGGTCCAGTAGGCAGCCCCTGGAGGGTCACAGGGCACTCCACATTCCCAGATCGGAGGTCAGAAGCAGAGCTGCGGCCTCCAAGCTGGGGATCTGTGCCCAACCCCCTCCCACTCATAGCCAGCTTGGAAGAACCCATCTTGCTCCAGAAAATGAACCTTGGTTCAGGAAAGACAGGGAGAGAGAGGTAGGCTGATCGGGCTCAGTCTCCTTCCCTCCTCCTCTGAAGAGCCGCAGCCAAGCAGCCCAGTCCGACTGAACTGCAGAGCCCCACCTGTTTCCCCCACCCTGCACTAAATTTTTGGAAGCCTCTGAGCAGTCTCTGAGCATCCAGGGTGCAACTAACAAGACTCCAGCCTAAACAGACAAGCAAACAAACACACAAACATCACTGCATGCCAAACCAAAATTAGTAACAATATGTGGTTGATGATAGTAATAAAGCTACCTAGTAGGCCCCTTCATTAAATGGAAGATAGAATTCAAGCAATCCTGGATGAAAAGGTAAAATTTTAAATACTTCAGCCATCTCCAATGTTTCCCAAGCATTGTCAACATGATCAAGATGATACTGTCATGAGAACCTGGGCTACTTGAAGCTCCTGTACCTTTTACAGTTCCGGGTTCAGCTGAGGGGGAAGCAGCTGCCCTGCCTGATCCATCCATCAGTCCCTTCACCACCCTGCTATGGGGCAATGGTGGGATGATGGAGCAGGTGAATAGGAAAAATGTGGTTGCCTTGGCCTTGTTACACTGCAATCCTTGGCACATTTCTTCAGAAGTAAGAAGTGCTCCATTTAGTGGTGCTCACGTTTGAGTCAGAGTGCTTAGGAATCCAGCCCCAGGGCTGGAAATTTTAAAAGCACATGTAAAATGCCCAGTTTGCAAACTTGCAGCCCTGTACACAGAAGCTCAATCAAGCCCAGAAAGTCGTCCCACTGGGAAATGAGTTTAGAAGCCCTTGGCTGGTGGAGGCTGTGCACAGGACTCAAATACCATATCCCAGACTGTGAGAAAGTCGTAAATGATACGCATATTTTTGCTGGTTCTTTGAAATGAATCTAGGATTGCATACACCAACCTTTCCCTTGATTATCAGGTTCTCTCTCGCTCACAGAACACTATTACGCGGTTGAACTTTTCTTATTGGTTGCATTCCCCATTATTACCTCATGCACAGTCACACAGCAGCCAATAGTCCATTACGAAAAGCTGGAGGCAAATTGCTGTAGCGGAAACCACTTAAAGCCATCTCTGAAAGTGACAGAGCCCATGTCTGACAGCAACGTACGCTTACCAGCTTTGTTTTATCCATGGCTGTAAGGACAGCGGTGTTGAGTTGCTCCAAAGCAGACAGAACATGCCTGTATTCTCCAAGATGCTCTGAGAAATAATCTGTAATAGGAAAAGAGGGCATGTCATGGCGGTGAGGTCAGCCAGACCATGTTGTCTCATGCCATTATTGAATGAAAAGCAACCGCCCCATTGTTTACATTTGTCTTGCTGCCCTCATGGTAGGTGGCCAAGGAGTCAAGGAACTGAAGTGAGCAGCAACGGGAATCCTTTTGACTAGGGTCCGATCTTGAAAAGGCAGTGAACACCAACGCCAAAGGAGGGCCAAGACACATGCACTTTGGGGACAATTCTGGAACAACATGCCTTCAAAGTACATTTTTCATAGTAGGGAAGTTAATGACCTACTTACCGCAAAACTTCTCAGTCTCTAAATTGCTGCAAGAGACAGAGGGGGGAAAAGAAAACATGCCTGTGTGAGATGAGAATTCTAAACTGGAGGGAAACAGCTGCTAAAAGTGGCAAAACAACAACTGACAACTAAGACCCAAAATTAAATCCAGTGTTTTGTTTATTTATTTGGTTTTGAGGCATTTCAACTTAGAAAGGAATTGCCTATTCTAAGAGGCTTAGGGTGCAACCTCATGCATTTTTAGACAGAGTGGGGAAAAGCCCTAGACTCTAATTTGCTGGCAGGGCAAATTAGATGCTTTAGGGACTAAAGCATCTAATTTGCCCTGCCAGCAAAGGACTTCCTTCTTTCTAAACATGCATAGGGTTGTGCCCTTGGTCACCGATACTTCTGTGCTAAGTGCAGAAGAGGTCGTCTTTCTATATATTTGCATTTGACACCCTTCCTTCGTATAACCCAGAGCAACCTTTCCCATGCAGATGTGCCTCCATATGTGGACTACAGTTCCCATCATCCCCACACAGAAGGGCCAGGGTGTCAGATAGGGTGGCCACATGAAAAATAGACAAGACACCCATGCCTTCCATAGTTGTGCAGAAGAAGGAATTTCAGTAAGTGTAGCTTGCGATGCAAGTTATACCGAAGAATGTTGGAGGATTTTTTTTCTGGGTTGGGAGGAAACATTCTGAAGTGAACTCACCTAATCTACACCAACCAGATAAATATGTAAATCAGATTATTTCTTTTCAGAATCTGCACCTATTAGTGAAGCCAGCAAGGTAGCCTGGGGACTCTTTTTCCTTTTCTTTTTTGGTTAAACAAACCCAGTAATAGCTGCAAGGAGCAGCCAGAAAGCTCAGCTGCAGCTCCACGGGTTGGAAGAGAACCACAACTGAGCCTGGGACTTGGGGACTAGACTAAAGTGTGTTGTCTTTTCTGGGGATGTTACAGAGGAATTCTATTGAAAAACAGGCTCTTTATCCAGCAGCCTCTATGACTTGACACACACCGGGAATTTGCTCAGGCCAGGCTAAGGCTGTAGTCCTATAGCCTTTAATTGGCAGTAAGCTGGGAGTCATACAATGGGACTATTTCTGAGGAAGCATAGACAGGAGCATGCCGTCACATGCAGTTTTAATTAAAGCAACTGAATGAAGAAAGCTTTCCCCCTATGCTAATGCACTTATTGTACCCTCTAGAACAGCCTCTACCAACTGGGTTCCTTCCAGAAGTTTTGGACTGCAGCCCCATCATTCCCACCCGGTGGGAGGCTAGTCTACAATACGACGCTAGTCTATAAAGAGCACTCACATCCTACGACTGAGGGATGTGACTGCTTCAGAGCAGCCAAGGTGGGGAGAAATTGCACCTCTAGTTTTTTAAAAAGTGTATTTTTCTTGCTGACACATTGCAAGTTATGTTTTTAGCCTCCGATTTCAGGCTTTGAGGAGGTATAAGACATTCTCTAAATTGTATGTGATGGCTTCTGTCTGGTTAATAATGAAGCACTAGAGGAATCTCCACAGATGAAAGCAGAGGCACTCTCCTGATAACAAAACACGGGTCCCCACTTCCCTGAGAGAGCCAGTTGCATTTGGTACTTCTCTAACCCTTTCATATTCTGAATGTGTAACAAACATTAGCCAATCAATAATTAAAATGCTGAATAATTTAATGCAGAAGCAAACCTGGAGGAAAAAATAGCCAGACAGGTCTATACTCAACCCTCCAAATCAGAATACTGATAGAAGAGAAACCAGAAATAGAAATACTGTTTTCTTGTTCTATACATAATATACAGATAATATCAAATAGGAACAACTATTACATATTCATTGAGCAACATGCCTGCTTCAAAACAGCCAAACTTTCCCTGGACAGCTAAAGGCATAATGGCTTGAGCCCCTTTCACACTGTTTTAGAAACAGCTTCCACGCATCCAACTGAACTCCTTCTGTCGGCTTCTTGAAGACAGCAAGATGCAACATGGGGCGATACTAGTAAGATTGGTATTGTTTTTCTAAAAGTGCAAATGTAGCCATTTTTCCCTGGAAGGCAGGGAATGGGAGCCATTGTTCTGAAGGAGCCATTCCTAGAGGATGGGAAGGGGCAAAGCTCAGTGGTAAAGCACCTTTCTTTGCTTGCGGGAGGTTCAGTCCCCAGCATCAGGCATTTACAAGGCCATGAAAGACTCCTGTCTGAATGTCAGTGCGACTCAGGCTTCCCCAACTTCCTGCCCACAAGCTGGGTTGGACTGCAGCCCCCTGCATTCCCAGATATTCAATACATCTGGAAAGTGCCTGATTGCAGAGAGCAGGTAGAGCAATACTGCACTAGAGGCCAAAGGTTTGACTTTTTGAAGCCAGAGCCTAATTACCCTCTTCAGTCAGCAACCGGCCCCCTTGGCTATGAAATGTGTGGAAGTGTCTCATCCCTAGCTCCAGGGGGGCTTATATGGGAGATGGGCTTTCAGACATGCCAGAGGCAGGCTGTTCACAGCTTGAAAGGTCAGGACCAGGGCCTAGCATTTGGTCTGGAAAGAAGCTGGAGGCCACGGTAGTTCTTCCAGCATTAGGATAATATGGTGGAGCATTAGCACGTGGCTTCAGACAACAAAAAGAAGGCTTCCCATTCTGGATCAGTCAATGTTTCTGAGCCTGTAATTTTAAATCCACACTGACCTGGGAGTAAGTCTCCTTGAACAGAGTAAACGTCTAGGCAGACTTGCATAGACTTGCACGGTTAGCCATGCTCAAGAGCAGTCTGATAAAAAGTGCATCACAGTAACCAAGTTGTGACGTTACCATCAGTGTGTGTGACATGGTGAAAAGGTCTTTGTTATCTAGGAAGGGATACAGATCATGGAACAGCACTGCAGCTGAAGAGGCCTCTGGTCCGCCTTAGGACAGAGGAGAAAGAAAAATACTAAGAGCTCAGAAAGCAACACATCCAAGAAGGAAAAATGGACTATTTCATTTCAGATGAAAAGGGTCATGAACATGCTGTCTTATATTAGAGAAGCAGACCTTAAGGAGGATAAAAAGTTGCTCTGTTGTGCAGGTGAGGGCAGGCAATTTTCAGGTCCTCTCTGCACAACTCTCTTCAAAAACCAGATGTATTTGTTCAGTGCATCTCTTTCTACACATCCTCTGCTCAGCCTGTGCAAGTCTCTTGTCTATTTGCATAGGAGATGGGAACAGAAGTAACCCTAGGTACACAAAGCTTTCTTTTCTGCTACATGGAACCTTTTATTTATGCAAAATCTGCCTATTGTAGCACTAAAGTGCCATATAAGTCTGCCTTGCTTTTGCAATCCTCATGGTAGGCTCTTCATATTGCCACTATCTGGGGTGCTTTCAGGGGGAAAGTGAGAGAGGGGCATCTTCATGGATAGCTCTGAGAGTCTCCTTCTTTGTCACAGACATACAGCCATGTCTGCTGTTGAAGGTGGTTTTAATTTGAGCTGATTCTTTTATCATTTGTGCCTTTAATTGTGTCTTCAGTGGGTTTGATTTTATGGTGTGCTTTAATTGAGATTTTGTTTTTAGACTGTATGTTATTGTTAGCTGCTCTGGATGTCATTTTTGTCAGAAAAGAGAGACATAAAAATAAGGATTTAATAAAAGTGCAGCCTTTAGTTGTAGGTGTTTGAGGTTCCTTAGAAGGAAATAATTTCTAGTTGTTAGGAAGGTTTTTGCAGGATAACTGCAGCACACTTTCTTTTACAGGTTTGGACAGGCACTTTTTCCTTTTTTTACAGACAGAACCGAGACATCCCAGTGGAAAGAATCAGAAAATCAATGCAGCTTTTATTCTGTGATCTGTAAACCAGCTCAACAGCATAATTTTATAACCCACCCTTCTCCCAAGGCACTAAGCTGGTGTTGACTGTTCTACTCTCTCTCTCATCCCCTACCCCACCGTATTATCATCTTTATAACAACCCTGTGGAGTAGGCTAGACTGACACTGAATACCTGGTGGCTGACCAGAGATTTGAACTGGGTTTTCTCCACTCTTGCCTGGCACTAACTACAACATCACATGAGTCATGAGTGAAAGCAGCCCTGGAAATGTGATTAGAGGGCATCATATCACCATTTTTAAAACAACCAAACCACAGTGAATCCTGGGAGAAGTCTAAAGATGGCCATGCTATTTCCAGCCCAGTCTGTTTACTTAACCAGAATGTTTACCCAGCAGACATCATTATGGAGTCGAAATGGAGGTGGGTGGCATGTGCGATTCTCTGTAGGGGCAGGATGAGAAGGAAATGGTATGAATGGGGCTCTAAAATATTCATCTTCCCAGATGTCAGCCCTTTTCCAAAGCAGTGGAAACACACCAGGAAATTCAGGACTCAGCTCTTCCATCATAATCTCTCCCTTTCTCTCGTTTTGCCAAGGTTCTTGCTATGGCTAAAGATCAGCAACAGCATCCTGAGCCAATCTGCTAGTGAAAATGAAACCAGCATCTTTCTTACTCTAAAGCCAAGGAGAGATCCATCATTTTTCTTATTATTTTACCTACATCAAATAAATCATACTGCTATGTGATTCTTTCCATGGCAAGGATGTTGTGAGGGCGTAATTGATACTAGGATTAGGCTGGCCATGTGTCCTATTAGTCAGAGCACAGTCCTGCATTTGCAGAATCCCAGAGGACAGTACTCTGAAGATATTCTTTATCTGAAGGGCTGTCCCTCCAGTGTAAGGCAAGTTGAAAGACAAAGGACCCTAAGGAGAAGAAGCACAAGAAGGGCCTTGAGGTTGCCCATTAACAGTTTGTACCTGGACAGCAGACTGAGCAGCTCACAGTCTTCCCTATTCAGGTGAGATGCAATGGTACCCCAACTCTGGATTTATGCACTGTGCAATTTCTGAGACAAGTGCAGGTATTACAAGAGTGAATTATGCCTCTATTCTTTCTTTACTTTCCTGGAGAAATTGCCACTAGAAGGGTCCTAGGCCAATAGGACACACACAGAGGAGCTCAGTCCCAGCAGACTTGACCAAACCAATTTCCTT